AACATCGAAAAAAAAAAAAAAAAAAAAGAAAGAAAGAAAAAAAAGAAAAGAAAACTATATAGTGAAGCACAGTTGAGGAGCAATTTTAAAAATTTTTTCTCTTTTGGGGCTGGCAGGTGGCATGGTGGTTAAGGGCACTGTACTTCCACGTGGCTGACCACAGTTTGAGTCCCAGACCTGGTAGCTTGCTTTCTCACTTTCCTCTGCACTCTCTCTCTCTCACTCTGTCCCTCTCTGATGAAATTAAAATAAATAAATAAAGTTAAATCAAATCATTCTTTAAGAAAAATTTCAGGGCCAACAAGTGGCATGGTGGTTGAGGGCACTAGACTCCCATGTGGCCAATCGTGGTTTGAGTCCCGGACCTGGCAGCTTGCTTTCTCAGTTTCTTTCTCTCTCTCACACACACACACACACACTCTGTCCTTCTCTGGTCAAATTAAAATAAATAAATAAATGGATAAATAAAGTTAAATAAAATAATTTTTAAAATTTTCCTATTTTTCAAACCTGCGTGAAAGGAGCGAACCTGCCTGCACCCCTCTGGGTGGGGCACTCACTCCTGCACAAGGCAGCCTCCTTCCCACAGCACACCTCCAAATGTTCCAGTCTCCTGAACGTGCCCTAATCACCTCTCTGCCATTTCTCCCTGCTTTCAGGATTTTGGACACGCACATGCTGGGAGTATTTCTTTTTTTTTCTTTTTTTGGAGAGGTTTTTGCTATAGGGCGTGTGCACTCGCCAGACAGACAGAAAGAGAGAGAGAGACAGAAAGCGAGAAATCACCCCCCAGAGGGGATGGCATTGCCGCTATCCCTTCTCCTCCATTCTCCTCTCGGGATCTTGGGCACACATGCACATGCGCCCAGCGTGAGTTTTAAGCCACCAGGTCCGGGACATGAACCGCGGTCAACTACATGGGAGTCCAGCGACATAGCCATTTATGCTAACTGCTGGTCCCCATGCTGGGAATATTTCTAAGGCTGCTGGGTCTGGGACTCGAACTGCAAGGTGGGCCATGTGGATACCGTTGCCTTACCACCAGGACACAGGCAGTCCAGTACTGGCTCTCTCAAGATGCATTTCTCTATGACTTTTGCAGCCAATAAGGGCAATAGGCGTGCCCATCCCGCTCCTCCTCTGGTGCCCAGCGCTGGGAGCAGGGGCCCAGCAGTGCACCGCCCCCCTGCCCCTGCCCTCTATTTGCCCAGCTCACACGTGCATGTGCAGGTCAGGGGCCCGGCCAAGTTTCTCCAGCTGGCAGCAATGGAGCAACCAGAACTCAGTCTGAAACTCAGCCTGCCCCAGGAGGTTCTCCCAAATGTGGAACTGAACTGAGCAGTTTCTGCTAAGGACAGACAGGCCTTGCTGTTCTCAGCCCGCACCCCACATCCCCCTGTGACAGATGTGCTTCGGGTTGTTTTTCCAGCTGTGATACTGGGCTGGGGCCCGAGGCCCACCTGGCAGCCTGGCGCTCCTGTGTGGGAAACTTGGTTTGGTCCCAGAAGTGCACAGAGCTCCCCTGGTCCCTGGAGCCCACAGGCACTGCCAGCCCCAAGCACGGTCTCTGTCAGCCTGGTCTGGAAGTGTCCCGACCCGGGGGACAGTTGAACAGGTTTCCTGAGGGAAGGAGTGAGAGATGGGACAAACGACACAGTGTTACAACACGGAGACCACGCAGTGTTACAACTCTTCAGGGTCCTCTGTTTATTGTGGGCAGAACAGAGACGACACAGTGTCACAACTCTTCAGGGTCTTTAGGGTCGTCTGGCGATTGTGGGCCAGGGATCGTGGTTATATACATGTTGGTGGGCAGTGATTGGTTGAATGAAGGATTGTAAAACGTGGGTTATCATTGGTTGCTTTTGTGGACCAATCATGAGGTGCTGGATATGCAAATCTGAGGGAGTCTAAGCTTACCAATTTGCTATGGGAAGTGGCCAATCAGAGTACGGTTTTGAAGGTGAGGTTTTGAAGGGGAGCCAATCATGGCCTTTGTCATTGTGTAATTGTTTGCTCTCTGAGAAACCGGGCGATATTCGCCTGTGCGCAGCCTCCCACATAGAAGGAAGGCACGGAGCAGGACACAGGGAGGCCCCGCACTTGCTAGCCCTGGGGCCTGGGGTGTGCACAGCTGTCCAAGAGGTATCTGCAGCTGCCAGGCCCCCTTGGCTGGGGTGGCCTGCAGGAAGTCGAGTTGGTGTCTGGAAAGCTCCTGCTCCCTGGGCTGGCTCTGGCGCCATCCCCTAAGAGGTCAGTCTCGGGGCTTCTGCTGCTTGGAAACAGACCGCTATCCAGGTGCAAGGCCTTGGTGAAGGTCTGTGTATGCACAGACACCATCAGTGCTTCAATGCCTTTTTTAAAAAAAATTGCTATGGGGTGTGAACACTCCCTGGAGAGGGGCAGAGAAAGTGAGAAAGCACCCAGGGGCGGGGGGAGGGGTTGAGCACATGGCAGTTCCTTCTCCTCTGTTCTCCTCTTGGGATTTTGGGTGCGTGCATGAGCCTGACATGTTTTTCAAGCCTCCAGGTCTGGGACTTGAGCTGTGTAGTAGCCATGTGGGATCCAGCCGCCTTAACCACTACCAGCTGGCTCCTTCAATGTTTTCTTCTTTTTGTTTTTAATTTAGAGATTTTTGCTATAGAGCGTGTATGCTTGCTGGGGAGACAGAGAGCGATGGAAAGAAAGAAGTCACCCCCTCCTCCGGGGGGATGGCCATACTGCAATCCCTTCTCCTCCATTCTCCTCTCAAGATCTTGGGCATGCACGCACACACAGCCAGCATGGTCACCGGGTCTGGGACTCAAACCATGGTTGACTAAGTGGGAGTATGACGATGTAAACATTATGCCATCTGTCTCTTTAATGCCCTTTTAAACAAAAAAATCAAACTGAAAATGAATAACCACACAGCCTTCCTATGAACTGCCCCTCACCTGCCCCACCCAGCAACGCCAGACAAGCTCTCCCTGGAGCTGAGCAGTCCTGCCGTCCTCACCTGCACCGCGCAGCCCTGCCTAACCCAAGAGACAGTGGGGCAAAGACACATGGCTGTCTCTGTGATGGCCAACACCGGGGGACTGGAACGGGAGCAACTGGTCTTCCTCCAAGCTGGTAATTGTCATCCTCTCCGACGGGCAAAGCCGTTCGTCCCAAGCTCTCCTGGGATGGAGAGAGCAGAGAAGGCCACATTCCAGTCTCTGATGACAGAGGCTGTTCCTTTAGTCTCTTGTACTGTCAGGACATGGGGGATCAAGATGGGGGACTGAAAGACCACAGCATGAACAGCTGAGTTGCCATCTGCCTAGAGGGTATGCAGGAGCGGTTTCCCACCCAGCTCCAAAGTGGAGTTCATGCACCCCTTCGCTTCCTCTCTCACAAGGACTCCCCGGCCACCGTGGTGGATGTCCAGCACTGCACTGCCCGGACTGGCGGCAGGACAGCAGGGACTCACCGCAGCTCAGCTCCCACTTACGCAGGGCGGATATCAGCAGGTTAATCCACGTGATGTCTCCACCGTCTCCACTGCGAAGAGGGGCTGAGTCGATTGCTCAAGGTCACGCAGCCTGGTAAGGGTGGAGCAGGGTCCAGACACGGGCAGGCCGCTGGCACCCAGGATGCCCTCTGAGTGGAGGCCGTCCAGCAGAGCACAGGTCGTGAGTGCGCCTCGAGGGACACTGCTGGGAAGAGAGGCGCCATCAGACTCCCGAGAGGATGACCGTGGGGTTGGAGAAGAACATCCAGAGGGGCTCAGCCGGGGATGGGAGTCCGTGGGAGCAGGCCTCAGTTCGTGAGGCCTTGGGGTAGGACCAAGCAGGGGCAGTGTCCCTGGAGCACTGGAGTGAAGGGGAACATGAAGGAGGTGGGTGGGGAACAGCAGGGACAGGCAGGCCATAGAAGAGGGTGGACTGTGCCCAACGTGCCATCAGACCTGAGCGAGGTGACATGACTGCTCTATGCTGTGTGGGGAGAGGGTTGGAAACAGGAGGCCGGAGTCTGGGTGACAGTGATCAAGGATCGTCACAGTGGTCAAGGAGACGTGGCCCCATACTCGGCTGAGTGTGAGTGGAGTGGCTTTTCCTCCCTTCCCACCCCCACATCTCCAAGAGCTCAACATCTGAGTTAGATGGGCCCCAACCCTCCCACTGCAGATAGCTCGCTGGTTTTCCCAGGTTCGGCATTTTCTGACCGTCCCAAGGTGCTGACTCTCCACCTGCCGAGGGAGCCGGTGCCCAGGCAACTCCGCCATCCCTTCTCCAGCCTCCTCTAGGTATTTTGGCATGCACGCACACGTGGCCAGCATGAGTTGTTGTACAGGACTCGAACTGTGGTTAACAAGGTGGGAGTCCCACACCGTAATCAGCACGCCATCTGCTGGTCCCAGCGTAATGGTTCATCTTAGGACTGATGTGACTTAGATTCCATATAAGCCGGAAAGGCGGGTGCTGGGCTTGGCTGCAGGGAAATGGCTAGAATACATACAGCACGCCACTGTGCAGGCCTGTCAGGAGCTGTAGGCAGGAAAGAGGAGAGACGGAACAGGCGCCTCGGGCCCCTCCCTAAGGTCACTCCCTGCATTGTGAAACAGGGCTAAGAGAAGAAGGGAGAGACATGTCTCCAGCAAGACGTGAGCAAGTGAAAACAGAAGCGTGCATCTACGAGTCTGCGTGCACATGAACACTACTAGGTGGGATACCAGCATGCCAGGAGGACTTCCTGGAAGAAGTGAGTTTAGGGTATAAAAAGAAAACAGGGCCAAAAGCTAGCCCACCTCCTTTAATGGGCACCTGGTTTACAGGAGGCAGTCACATCTCCACTTTACAGAGGAAAAACAGTTCAGGGCCCAGTCACAACAGTGCAAACAGGTCACCACTGCGTAGTGGCTGAGGCCACAGCGGAGGCCTGGCTGTAGGTCCTGGCCTGTCCTAAGTACATTGACACACTCTGGTCCCAGTCAGCTGGGAAGCTGCGGTGGGAGGATCACCACAGGTGAGACCCTGTCAGGAAAATACTGTCTCCCTCCTGTGAGGAGGGGGATGGACTGGGGCGTGTGGGAGCACCAGGCCCAGGTGCCCCCACAAACGGTTCACTCTGGGCAAGGGCTGCAGACCCAGACAATGGACTCTCTTCCTGGGCTCTCCGTAACCCCTGGACTCCCCAGGTCATCTTCCCCGGGGCTGTCAACCCAGGATCCGATGCCTGGGCGCAACTGCATGTCTGCAGGACAGGACACCGTCGGGCTTGGCGCTGGGCACTCTGCCCCTTCTGGAACCCGCCCAGGAGCCTTGACCCACAGACTTCAGAGCACAGAACCGGCCAAGAGAAAGGGCCGGCTGGTGTGGGGCTGGAAGCCCTTGTGGGGCCTGGAAGCCCTTCTGGGGCCCTGGGACCAGCTGCCGTAGCGCATCACAACACAAGCCAGCGCCACGCCAGGCCCACTGGTGCTCCTGAGAAAGCCCCGCCCCTGGCAGCCCAGTCCAGGAGGCCCCTGGCCTCAGGGCTGGACCCTTGCCTCAGTTTACCGAGATGTCCAACAGGTGAGGAGGGTGGGGAGCAGAGAAGGCAAGGCCGCGGCGTGAGCCCGGGCGGTGGCCTGGGGATCCCATCCTAGTTCTCCCCTTGACAACACAGAGCTGCTTCCCAGCACCCGCAGACGCACTGGGCAGTACAGACAACGTTTAGCCAGCTCTTGCGAGGCGTCAGCGCTCTCCGGGCGCTCTGCGAACTCCCTAAACCGCCCCAAACGTATAAAGTGGGCGCGGTTATCACCCCCCTCCACCCGAGGGAGGCTGAGGCACCCGTGGAAGTGGCTAATACACGCGGCGCAGAA